ACATGATATTTACTTAATATCCTAATGATTTTTGGCATAAAAGAAAAATCGATAATTTTGACCCATACAATGTTTTTTGGCTATTGCTAAAAATATACCCCAACGACTTAAGACTGGTTTTGTGGTCCAGGGTCACATATTTAAACTGTAGTCAATGAATAAATAAAATGTGACATTTATAAAATGTGCTTATATAAAGAGTTTAACATTTAGTTTAACTTGATTTACTAAAATAACTAAAACTAAAACTGAAGTAAAAAATCATAAAAAAAAGACAAAAACTAATAAAATGGCAAAAACGCATCTAAAATTAAAATGGATACTATAATGGTAATGATACTAAATGATACTAAAATAACACTAGTATGCCATCCATTTTGAGTCTAGATAAAATAGCTGATATTCATAATTGATAATTATTTGTAGGCTATGAGACTCAGGTGGGTGAGAGGGGACTAAAGTTGAGCGGAGGAGAGAAGCAGAGAGTCGCCATCGCTCGCACCATCCTCAAAGCGCCACAGATCATCCTCCTCGACGAGGTACGACAGCACCAGTGCATTATGGGAGAATGCGTACGCAATGTGGGAATTATCCCAGTTTTGCCTTTAGTTTTTATGATTTCTTGTTGAGAAGCTTTTTTGCATTACTGTTCAAGAGTTTGGAGTCTGTTAGATTTTTAACGAAAATTTAAGAAATTAATATTTTGATAAAAATGTCAGTATGTTAATGCATTTACAATATTACAAAAGATTTCTATTTCAAATAAATGCTGTTCTTTTGAACTTTCTGTTTATGGAAAAATCCGGAATAAATGTCACTTTCATAAAAAAGTTTTATGAAAGTTATATTAAATTGTAATAATATTTCACAATGTTACTCTTTTTATTTTTATTCAATTAATTGTAGCTTTGATGAGCATAAGAGACTTCTTTCCAAACATTAAAAAAAAAATCTTACTGACCCCAAACTTTTAGTTTGATTTGTGATGACGGATTTTGGACCAATGAAATTTCAGTGGGCGGAGCTTCTCAGCTATACTGGACAGAAATAGAAAGCAAGCAAGCAATCGTCCTGTTGTGATTAGAACAAAAACTGTAAAAGAGATTTGTTTGTATAAAACACAACATTTCTGATTCACAAGTACTTTTTTCTTGATAGACTCATTTACTCATCTTCTACTCTACCCATAGGCCACATCTGCTCTAGACACACAGACCGAGCGAAATATTCAGGCCTCACTAGCTAAAGTCTGTGCCAACAGAACCACCATTGTGGTGGCACACAGGTAAACACATCATTAAATCAATTAAAAGATGTTTTTACTCAAATCATCTTCCATCAATTACTATAGTGATAACTAGTCATGAAACTAGATTACAGAATTTCTTATTGTATATAACACCATCACTGATTTGCATATTGTAGATTGTCGACTGTGATTGGAGCCGATGTGATTCTTGTACTTCGTGATGGACAGATTGTGGAGAGAGGAAGGTGGGTTTGTTTACTGGTATACTGAACACACATTTAGACCATAAAGGCACAATATGTAAGATTTTTTTTATTAAAATATCCAAAAACCACTAGAACAGTGTTATATATTTTGCTGACTTGTGTACTTACATTATCCCAAATGTTTCGAAGAATGCTAAAATCCAGAGAAATAAGCAATTTTAACTAGTGACACGGACCGTGTCTATAGTGTCATTGTGTCGCCTGCCAATGACGTCATAACCCCTCAATTTCCG